GCATCGGCCCTCTTGGGCCCCATCTGTGGTGGTCTGATGGCTCTTTGAGGCGCGCGCGGAACGCGACGCGCCGTACGCTCGGGTCTGTTTCTGGTCGGACGTGGAGCCACCCATGCTCGCCCGCAGGCCCGCGCTTACGGTGGCCGGAGATCGTTCCGCGATCCCCGACGCCCGGTGTGTCCTTCGCGATGGCTGGGTTGCGAGGAGGCAGCGCTTTGCTGCTTCACGCGTCCCGCCTCCTCCTTAGCTACCATAACTGCTTCGCAAAAGAAGAAAGGCCCGAGCCTAGGGCCTTTCTTTTTACACCAACTATATTTAATAATAATAACTAGGTTATGGAAGACTAAAATAATCCTATATAAAAATCTATTACGATAAACGTTTAAAATAGTGTAAGACTAAAATTCACTTCATCAAAATACACAAAACACAAAGATAGAAAATCATTAAAGAACAATGTCAAACGGAATCACTCGTTAGTCGACTGTTACTATTGTAAGTAGAATAGTAGATATTTTCGTCAACACAAGGTGGGAGGGTGACGTGCCTCAAAATCTATTATTGTCGTTATTTTGACAGACAACACTGCGGGGAGCGGGCAGTGAAAGGTGAAACGTAGCTGGCAACTCGTAAACATATGGTACACCTGAAAGTTAATGATGTGTTGCTCGTAAGGTAGCTAATGTTTATGTGATTTTGTTAATGAAAGAGAATTAGGACAGCTATACAAATTATTAATTAGTGGTAGGTACTAATAATTTCTTAGTTGATGTAAATTTTTCATTATTTCTTTTTACTACGACGCACGATATAAAAATAGTATTGTGACATGGAAGTGTAGGCCGTGTAGGTATGTTCTTTTTGTTTGTAAATACTTATGAACTCTGTAATATATCTAAACACATTTAAGAAAAGGACCATTTAAAATTAACGTGAGATACACCGTATAGCGTCAGCTAGCTATGAAACTAGTAAGTAGGTAAATTAAAAAAGAGAAATTAATCAATGAGGACTATCATCACTCAAAATAAAGCTCAAAAGCAGACTTTACTTTACATCTGGTAGTCAAACAAAACAGATTGCTTTACAGAATAAAACAGAAGCTTGCAGTACAAAGCGAATAATTTACTCCAATTTCGTATTTATTACCCTTAGAGCTGCAATTCGGAGCGCTTTTATTATTAATGTGAGCGACGAAGTAGGTTCTAGCAAATATACCTTCAAACTCATTGTATCAACAAACAGCATTTGCTAAAGTTCTTTAATAGATTTTTTACTTTATTGCTAAACAATAATAAAGTTCAAAATATTTCAGAGGTCAACCTGTGTACTAATAAGGGCTGATGGTGAAGGTTTAATAATCCTAGCTCGACAATGTAGGCACAAGTAAAGAGAAAACCTTTGTTTCAATTAGTTGTTTATCAAAACGTCGAGACAAAGAACCACCTACACTCAAGTCTCGATTTCGTTTTATGGTCTAAATAAGAGGTCAGGAGGCTTTCGCGGCGTGTATTGGCTTCGATCCAAGTATTTTATCTTCCTGATGATATTTCATAACACAAGGCCTACTTCCAGATTTATTTATGACGGCATTTTCTTTTGTTTTCGCTTGAGGACGACTTTTTTTAACTGGAAAATAAAAGTACAAACTCATAACAAACGATAACTCATACAGACATGATCGTCACGCCTCGGCTGTGACAGTGGAACAAATGATTCGGTTGTAATAAAATTTCTGATGTTATTAACATTACTCAAAAGAAAATGTACGTCTGTCTAAAGTCTAAACAAACTATCAATAGATTTAAGATTTAAGGATCTCCTTCAGACCTAAAATGATAGTAAATATTTCTAGCCAAGAAGGCAAATATATGCACATTCCTGAGAAAAAGACCAAAGGAATCCCAATATCAATTTGTAAAGCAAACCTGTTTAGCCTGTGATGTAATACCACAGCAACCTTCTTCATGAAACAAACAACAGCGTAGGTTTCGATAGAAAGTGCGATAATGTTCTGAACAAATTGGGTGTTTGTAAGATAATTTCCCTCTTCCCTCGAGAGGGCTTCCCTCGGCTCCTTATCCAATAAATGTCTGGCTACGTGCCGGAGCTCCGGCGATTTTAAAACGTGACGCCGATAGCCGATCCGAAAGATGAATTGGTCGGAAGGTTTTAGCCATTTCATTGTGCTCTATATGTGTAGGTATTTTCGAAAGGGAATACGATATCAGAACGTTTTTGAATAAATTACGATATCTGTATATCTAGGGATCGTATTGTAGAACGATGGTGATGATAAATTACGATTAGTGTCAAGATTAGCGCGTCTGTTTGATTTGTACTCAACCGATGCTTTTTCATAACCTGCTTTAGAAAAATTTCACGAGGAAATGAAAAATGGAGATGGAGTAAAGCTGGGGGGACATTTTGATAACATACATCTAGCTAGTATTTCGACGGTTGTAAAAGACCATACCCTACCATATCCTTATCATATTAAACCTTGCATAGAGTAATCACAGTTTTATAAGGGTACATAAGAAGATAGATGATTTAATCAACATAAAACTGGACATAGTGGCTAGTTGTAATCTCAACGAGTGTGACACGCAGCTCGAACAGTCCATTAACAATTTTACGAGGTCGTTCATCAAACTGATTCAGGGGTAACGGCGCCAAACTGAGGAGTTATTTCTGTTATATGAGATGAAAATATCCAGGGTGACATGGCTTGGTCAGGTGTGTAAGTACTTTGTATCTCATTGTGTTATGGAACTCGTAGCTGGGTAGCGAAGTCGAAGATTACCAAGAATTTTGATTTCAATGTGATTTTTGAGGTGCCAATATAATTCGCGGATGTTTTTGGGAGTCAGTGTCAAACAAATTGGCTTGCTTGGGGTAAAACAATAACCTTTCTTTAGAAATCGATACCTTTTTATGGGACGGTCAAGATTAGGGAATCTCTCCAAGATTTCGAAGACTGTCACTTGCTACATACTTCCACGATTTTTTTCTTCATTGTTCTCTTATCCCAGGCTACTTGGGATCATCATAAGACCTTAAAATATTGCCCAGATACATTATGACTCTTTTTCAATCAAGTTCACAATATACAATTCTTTAGTTACATAGTTTTGTTATTTCAATTGTGTAAGAACAATGTAACCCAGTCCAATCCAGTTTATATACAGGACGCAACAACAAACCAAATAGAAACAGAAAACAACTCAAACAGGAATTCATAATAACACAGTTTTCTTTTATCAGCACACCCTGTAATTAAACGGTAATCTTTCAGGAGAACATAAATTAATTTCGGACCAACCCTTGAGCTGGAATTAAACATAAATTAACACGAATTTGTTTGAACCCCTATTAAGTATATTTGGAAAGGTATTTGCGAGTTAAACGCGTTGGTTAGCTGCGATTTTACAGGCAGGTCAAGTTACCCCTAATTTTTCATCGAACTTTCAACGTTAAGATTTTGTAATAAAGTTGAAAATGTTCTAAAAAAATTGACGGATTGGATTCATTTGACCTGCTGCGCTTTGATTTATACGTATTTAATCGCTTCGTGTCGAGTGGTGGACGTAACAATTTTTCATATGTTTTTTCACGCTGTACCTGAAGCTGTGTTGAATATTTATGAAAATCAATGTTAGCTATGCATGCAACACTTTTACCTTCTTACGTCATTACAAGAAAGAAAGAAATGTTTATGTAATTAAATTATTTCATTGGTTTAATTTAAACTAATCAATTTGTAGATAAGTAGAAACAGGAGAAATGTCAGGAAAACAATAACAAAATGAACATAGACATATCTGTATATTGGTTCTTTTAATAGTCTTTCAAGATACTTATCTATTGTCTTTAAACATTGCACAAAAGTGTATGGATGTACTGTAAAGATATCTTTAATCTTTTATATATATTTTTTTATAATCTTTTATTACGATGTATAAAATGAGTAACGTATTTCACCGGTGCAATGTCATGACAAAGGAAGTAGTACGCGCCAACTATCCAAAGCATTATAAATAGACCAATAAATATCTACATCTGATTAATATAATTAAATCGTAACGTCTTCGTACCTCTATAGCGTTAGTAAATAATACAATATTAAATGTACCGCCCACTTTCCTCCAGTTATGTTATAAAACACATAAGTATATGATAGGTCGAAAACAAGACTTTACCCACAAACTAAGAATGGCTAAGAGTTTCCAAAAAAACACCCTTTATAATTTGTCCAACTCTTAAATCGAACATAGACCCTTCCTCGGCCATTACATTTCCAACAATTTCATCATCAAAGAAGCAATCAAATTAATATAATAACTGTAGGTACATAAACTACATTATAAAGTATATAAGCTCCTAAGTAATGTTTAAAGTAGTAAAATATTGGAGTTGGAGTCCAGACCTATATGTCTGACCTAGTTTGTAGGTATCTACGTCATTTGGTTGGCTGTATCCCAAATTTGGGAATAAAATTTCGGCGTAGAAAGTGTAAGGGATTGGTCAACGTACGTAACTGCTGGTTGAAGAGTTCGTCGCGACAGCTTCGTGAGAATGTGGTGTGTAAGGTGAAGTAACATAAATAATAAAGTGTTTTTATGATACATTCTATTTTTTGCAGAAGAAAAACTCTCAAGAAACGTATACAAGAAAGTTTTCTACGTCTTCTTGTAGAGTTCAAAAGAGGTGTCAGTCTTTAACATCACTTTTCAAACAGTTTCATAATCTATTATTATCAAAAATTTTACGTATCTTTCACTTATGTAAGTACTGCTTAAACTAGTGCCAAAGTTACTCCATACATTGAAAACTCTACTTATCGTCTAAAACAGCATTTTCAAAGTTTTACTAAAGTTACAGTTTTCCCACTACCCGCATATTGGAGCGCCGGCGTAGCAATAAATATAAAGTTACGGCCGGTGTCTAAAAGCTACTGCGATATAATTTAATACAAAGAGTAATAAAAAATAAAATACCTTCGCCGCTCCCACCGCAGTATCGATTCCCACCACCAGCGCGGGCCACCGCCAGCCACCACTCGAGCAAAGAAAAACAAAGCAAGTGAACACAACACAGAACGTCCACACTATTATAAAAGCGGCCGGCGAAAACCGCAACAGTTCACTTTTCGCCACAGTCAACTTGAAGAGGAAACTTGTACAACTTAAAAATAAGCAGAAGCGATCGAGCCGTGTCCGAGACTATCCAATTAGACAAGAAGAATTGAAGCGAGTCAGACGGCGCGCACCGCGGAAAAGTTTTATATGATTTTACGTTTCTCCATCCCGTAGGCGCGGGCCGACCGGCCGAAAGTTTTCAGCGTAGCGCTCGGAGCCGAGTGTGCTTTTGTTACGCAACTCACTGCGGCGCCGCGCCGCTAGGGGGAGCGCGCGCTCAGTGGCGCAGTGGCGGGCATGCGCACTGCCGCGCGCCGACTGTCGCCCGTCGCCGTCGCCCCACGAGCCACCGACTCCTCGTAAATCTTTCCTTGCTTCTCACCACTCGCACTAGCTGCTCCCATCAACTGACATGAGCGACTGTCCTAATTAATAAGTAAACACTCCACTACTCGCCGGCGCATGCCTTCAATAAACTAGCAGCGAAACTACACTCGACCATTGTTGAGTAATCTAGCTGAATTTATCAACTTTCTTCATACAGGCTGACCCACTTTGTGATATTGTATCAGAAGAAAGTCAATAACAAAACAGAGGTCATGGTGGCAAGAATCGCGTGAACCGCGATAATGGTTGTAGGGAACGCGAACCCTATCTGCGATCTGGAGTGAGGCAGGTAATGTTGCTAAACAAATATTGTGAGCAGCGTATAAGTAGGTAGGCACTGTTTGATAATAATATAGGTAGGCACACGTTGATTAAATTACTCTGATTTTTTTAAAGTTTAGAGATAAAAGAATGTTGTAATCAGAGTGTTACGCAACGTTTTCGTCTGTCATTTATCCACGAAGGTTCATAGAATATTCACAGTTCACAGTCTCTAGACATAGGAAGAATGCCTAGACACCTAAATAAGAAAAGTTCCCGTATAAAACATACTACACTGGAAATACGGCAAACTCTACCCCAGGAAGTTATATTCTTAGGAGTCTATTTACATAACTGACCTCTTTCTTTCTATTGAAAGTTGTTAATATTTCCTCATTGATAAAGAATTTAAATTGAAGATAATGCCTTCGTAATACGTACCTACTTATTTTCAGATCTTTCCTATATCAGAGCTGATCCAGGGTGATAGTTAAGTTAAATCTCATGTAGTAAATAGGGATGTCTTATAATGAATCTCATGTAATGAATAACCTACTGTATATACCATACGCACTCCGCGCTACGCATTTCCGACTCCATGCTATTTAAAAGGATTTTCGAAGAACTGAAAAAAAAATCACAAAACTATTTACCAAACTTCCCAAGCACCTATAAGACTACATTACTAAGCCATCACTCAATAAATGTAGTCTTACTTCATTGTCCTTTAACGTCCTCGACAGATGTTAATTGCCATTTCCTTAGCTGAGTCTCTGTGCATACAATATTATCGTGAGCAGTGATTATGAGTCGTGCACACCTGTGGCTGGGATGCAATTAGGTCCCGCACAGATTGGCGGGCTATGCGGAACGTTGGCGGTTTGTGATACAGGTATTTTGATGGTGAATTATTTGGTGATAAACTATGCCTCAAAGTTTTTGTTATAAGAATAGATTTTGACGGGTTTCTTAATAGTTATACCCAAAAAGTTAAACCCTTCCAAGTTCCTACTTTGTGAAGACATTGAAGAAGTAGAACACCGCATCTTTCAAACTGCAATTTTTAATGCACCTGTCAATAGTGGACTTTTAAGTACCTAGATGTAAAGTTTTTTTTAATGGGGTAAAATCGTCGAATGACTGCTCCCGCCTGGGTGAGGCGGGAGGGAGTGTCAGACTCTTACTGACTAAGAAGCACCCCGTTCCTACTCCTGCACTTTGAGAAGGAGCCCCTGTAACCCATTAAGACCTCTGTGGTTCCGTATCAACATAAGCCCTAAGGGGCCCCATCGGTGATGGTCTGACGGCTTTTTGAGGCGACGTGTCGTATGCCCGAGATGTAGAATGTGTAGATGTGGATTATTTGGCATGAATGGACCAGCTCGACCGGAGTGACTCCACAGCCTCACTGAAAACCGACGTGAAACAACGTTTACGTTGTATTTTGTCGTGTGAATGAGGCTATGGGAGGCAAAATTACCCTCCCTTCCCTCCCCAATCCCTGAATCCCAAGAATCCTCAAATTCTTAATTCCCGAAAGCCTGGTAACGCACTTAAAACGCTTCTGGTATTCCAGGTGTCCATGGTGACGCCGATTTCTTACCGTCAGATGATCCGTATTGCCAGTTTACCGGCTTATCACATAAAAAAAATGTAGAAGAGGCCCATGGCCTATAATCTAGCAGTAGACTACCATGGACTGTTGTCAATGGTGATTATGAAATATTAAACTCATCCTAGTTACTTGTTAGGAATAGCTATAACTTTAATGCATTGACAACATTTTGATCCTAAATAGGACAGGCATAACAGACACTTCAGTAAGCAGTAACATGATCTCAAAATCAAAATTATACCCTGAATTTGTGAGTGAGGACAGTAAGTCCTCACTCCTAAGACACCTAATGTGTTATGTAGATACCTAATAAATTATATTCGATTCCTGAATCAGGCAAAGTATCACTGGGTTTTTTTTTCAAGTCTCAGTAGTAGCACGGAGTCTGGGAATGTGCCTGGTATATGGCAATAGGCTCACCTATTACATAGGACTCGTAACATTATTAGTGAAAAGTGGATGTTACATTGTACAGTGGCAGTAGTGTGCACCTCTACCTACTCCTTCGGGTATAAAAGGCGTGATGTTATGTTATGTAATAAATTATATTCACATAAAAATCGTAAATTAAAGAAATCTGGAAACACGCCGATCTTTCCTTTTTCTTGATTTATACCCTGAGCTAACGGGTGTTTTAACTCTGAAACCACTCGTGCGAGGCTTAGCCCTAGCTATTAGGCGTACACGTTTGGTACATTCATCTATGATAATGGCGACATTTTGTTATCCCCATACATACGCAGAGTAGATATACGCCCCTACGCACATCTTATTGTGGAATACTGTATAACCTGATGTTTGACAAATTGCACCCACACATTGGACACCCGCAACACCCGAGGAGTCACAAGTCCGTTGCCGAACTTTTTAGATGAAGTAAGTACCTAGGTTTTTTTTTTATCTTTTAAGTCCTTGAAAAAAAGGATAAAATAGATACCTACCTACCTAAATACACCTATGTTATGGTCCCATGGGGTCCTTCTCACAGACATGAAATAAAAGTCGCACATTCATTCGCGGGTCGTCTGACGTAACACTTACAAAACAATTAGGTAAAGGCCACATCTGGAGCTTGCTAGACAACATGTAGCAATTACCATTAGCTTCCGTGTAATGCCTAAACATTGTTACACTAATTAGCATACACTATAAATCATTGTTGTCACTTTAAAATTGACATACCTAATCATTAATTCCACTAAGCCAAAAGAGAACAATTGTTAAAAGTGTACCAGTGTACCTAGAATACATTCACGGTCGAGAAAATCTTCTGTAAATGGTGACTTGTAGGTAATTCATCATCATCATCAACAGCCTATAAATGCCCACTGCTGAGCAAAGCCTCTTCTCACACGGAGAAGGTTAGAGCGTTAATCACCACGCTTGCTCAATGCGGGTTGGCGATTTCAAACTTATAATTAGAAATTATAAGTCCAGGTTTCCTCACGATGTTTTTCCTTCACCGTTTGTCAGTGGTGTCTAAATAATCTTAGAAAGTACATATAACTCGGAAAAAGTCACATTGGTAGGTTACTCGGAACTCGGAAAAAGTAAAAGCCGTTGGTAGGTTTCGAACCCGCACCCTCATGCATGAGAAGTGGGCGTCTTAAACCTCCGGGCCACCACGACAGGTAGGTAGGTAATTAGGTAGTGGGTATACCTAAATATAGGAAGCGGATACACGAAACTACTTAGGTAGTTTAGGTACCTACCTAAGCATAAGTCGGTCCTAATAGGCCTAATATAAAGTGTCTTCCGTACACTTTATATTAGCTGTATTTAGTACAAGATTTGACTGCAAGGTTGGTGCAATAGCTCGACGACCGACTGGTATGCAAAATGTTGCGGTTTCGATTTCCACACGGATCAATTCTTAGGTAGGTACTATTGTTGAGTTCAACTTGAAAAAACAAAGGTTTGTTTTATGAATCTTATCATTACACAAATGTTATGTACCTAGGTACTTTTAATTTGGCTCTTCTTTATATCGCCAAACTAGTCAAAATTCGCGAAGAACTTAACGGGTTATCGGGGCTCCGGCTCGACGTGCAGGAGAAAGAACGGCGTGGTTTTTAGGCAGTAAGAGTCTGACACTCCCTCCCGCCTCACCCAGGCGGGAGCAGTAATTCGATGATTTTCCCCCCTTAAAAAAAAAACTAGTCAAAATGAACGCCTTGTAGTTAATATTATGATGATGATGATGTGATGGAGTCTTAGTACCTACCTACATTTCCATAAAGAAAAAGAGCGCTCTTAATGGCACAAAAATCGAATATTTTTAATTTATTTCGAGTAGGTACCAGTCAATAAAACAGTTCACGCTCCTTCGAACTCAAGTTGAACTCACAAATTGAAATCTATTTTAACTGCCAAAGGATCAATCGATGTGTTAACTATTCTATTTGACCTCTTGTTAACAGTTAGATTAACTGACTGGTAACTAATAGAATTGGTTTGTACCTACTTGTATAAGGTCACAAACTTAACCATCAATCGGTTTCAAAGGAATGCCGTCGATCGATTCGTCTGAATGAGGTTTTTAATTCTTAATTAGATACATAGGTACTGGCGAGGTAGGCCTAACTTTTTTTATTATGTTGTTGTTTATATCATCTGTGGACTTGACTAAGAATAGGTTATAGGTACCCTAAATCTGCAACTAGCAGCTGAGACTGAAGGACGAACTGAAGCATTCTCTTAATGGGAGATTCTATTGTTATTCCTAATTCCCTGTAGATACTTACTGCATGTTAAGCGTGGAAATTATGACAAACCTCATAAGCTTCTACAGGTAGGTACCTACCTCCTAGATATAGGTAAGTACTCTGGTAAGTATCTACTTTGTCTACGGAATCTTAACTTTTGCGGAGAAATACTTGGGTGTGTGAGATTTCATTAAAACTCCAGTGGCCACCTACAGCACAGAGCACTGGGTAGCGCGTCGCATTCCACGCGCGTC